AGATGTCATGGAAGGTTTCCAGGGCTGAAGGCCCTGCTGCCTTGAAGATCTCAGCTGGAATGCTGTCTTTTCCAGAAGCTCTGCCAGAGTTGGTCTTGCTTATTGCCCTTTTGATTTCATCTATAGTAGGAGGAGCTTCTAGGTCCTCCAGGGGTGGTTGCTGGGGTATTTGACTGAGAGCATCTTGGTCAACAGTGGAAGGTCTGTTCAAAAGAGAGCTGAAATGCTCGGTCCAGCACTTGAGGAGCCCTTCTTGGTTCTTGATCAGGGTTTTGCCATCCGAGGACAACAAGGGAGAACATCCTGAGGTTGTTGGGCCGTATATGATTTTCAGAGAGCTGAAGAACAAAGTCACACACAGGTTCATTCTACAGCTTATCACCATCTTCATCATCCACACTATCACCAAAGCCCTGCGGCGATAGGCAAGTGGCGAAAGTAACAGTGGCAGGTGAGCCCTGGCAGTTAAAGTCACAAACCTGCACGCAGGCGGCCATTGGGCAAGTGGTCGTCTGACTCCTGACCGTGGCAGCAGGATCTCTCGGCAGCACTCAGTGGCGACTGGGCAGCCTCTTAAGGACTGCACTGCCCACCCTCAAGGAGGGATGGGTCTAGAAAAGGTGAACCAAACAAATGCCTGCCACTCAAAGTCTGGTCAGTTTACCGCGGCTGACAGACTTTAGATGATCATGCTCCAGTTAAAAAACGAAAATTATCTCATCGACCTGTTGATAGGTGGTTTAATTTAGAAATAAAGGCTGCAAAAAAAGAAAAAAGACAAGCGGAAAGAAAATGGAGAAAAAACGACTTGAAGTACATAAGGGAATATTTATTACTATGAAGAATTCTGTTAGTAAAATGATTACCAAAGCCAAGCGTACTTTCTTTTAGTCAAAATTTGAAAATGTTAAAACTTATAAGGAACTTTTTGATGTCTCTAGTGAACTGCTTGGCAACCAAAACAGAACAATATTACCCCCTGGCACCGATAGAGATCTTTGTAGTAGTTTTTCAGACTTTTTTTTCTAAAAAATCACCTCCATCAGACAAGAGCTTGATAAAATGTGCGCAATTGCCCCAAATTACCATCAGTTTAAAGGGCTAGTCATCGATTATTTTACTCCAGCAACGGAAGAAGAAATCAAAAAGATCATATTAGATAGTCCATCAAAAAGTTGCGCCTTAGACCCTATGCCCACCAGCCTTTTAAAAAAATGTTTGCATGAACTTCTTCCACATATCACCCAAATTGTAAATGATTCTCTCCTCACAGGCACAGTACCAAATTGCTTTAAGACAGCACATATTAGACCCCTTTTGAAAAAATCTGGACTTGATGAAAAGGACTTTAAAAATTTTAGACCAGTTTCAAATCTTTCTTTCCTTTCCAAAATTCTGGAAAAAGTTGTATCTAATAGACTGTTACATCATATTAAAGCAAATAATCTTAGCGAAGTCTATCAGTCAGCATATAAAGCACACCATAGTACCAAGACAGCGTAACTTAGAGTCTGTACTGATATTTTAAAATATATTGATGAAAAAAAGGTATGTCGTCTTACTCTTTTGGACCTTTCGGCTGCGTTCGATACCATTGATCATGACATTTTACTCGAGAGATTAAATACTACTTTTGGCATAAAGGGTACTGTCCTGCAATGGTTTGAGTCATATTTTAAGGATCGAACACAAGCAGTTGTGGTTGGAAACACGTGTTCTAATAATGTTTTGCTTAGATGTGGTGTTCCTCAGGGGTCTGTTCTTGGACCTGTCTTGTTTACAATGTATACACAACCTATTGCTGATATTTTAAGACAATATGGCATGAATTACCATCTTTATGCTGATGACACTCAAATTTATAAGTCTATTGATTTCGATCAAATACCACTTTTAGTCGACTCTACTGAACAATGTACTAGAGATTTAAAAATATGGATGACCAGCAATAAATTGAAACTAAATGATGACAAGACGGAAATAATGTTGAGTGGAAATACAAAAGCCATTAAAAATCTCCCAGAGCTACAAATTGATATTAATTACCATACCATTCGTTCAAAAAGAAGTCTTAAAAATCTAGGGGTTCAGTTGGATTATGATATGTTTATGTCCTCCCAAATAAGCCAGCTCAGCAAAAGTATTTACTTTCATGTTAAGAAAATTGGCAGTGTAAGAAATTATTTAACTAAAGCAGCAGCCAAGACACTTGTAACAACACTCATTTTATCAAAGCTAGATTACTGTTATGTTATTTTGTCCGGTTTGACATCCCAAAAACTATCAAAGTTACAAGTACTCCAAAATCAAGCAGCAAAATTGATAATGAAACAAAAGAAATCAGCCCACGTAACACCAATTCTGAAAGAACTACACTGGCTGCCAATAAAAGAAAGGATTAAATACAAAACTGCCGTTCTCTGTTTTAAATGTATAAATGATAGTGCACCTTTTTATCTTAAAACATTCCTGGAATTATATAATCCACCTAGAGCCCTTAGATCAGCCTCTGACAATCTAATTCTTAAAACTCCAAAACAAAATTACAAAACATACGGCGAGCGTTCCTTTTTGTTCTTTGGTCCCCAGGTATGGAACGAACTCCCATATAAAATAAGATCTGCCCCAACAATTTCCATTTTCAAAAATCGGCTGAAGCATTTTTTATTCACAAAAGCATACCTGTCATAATGATGTACTGTGATATATATGTATGTGTATGCCAGACTGTGAGACTGAAGAAATAGCGAGTGAGAATGAGAGAGAGAAAAAGAGAGAGATAGAGAGAGAAAAGAGAGAGAGATAGCGAGAGAGGGAGAGAGAAAGAGAGAGAGAGATAGCGAGAGAGGGAGAGAGAAAGAGATAGCGAGAGAGGGAGAGAGAAAGAGAGAGAGAGATAGAGGGAGAGGGGGAGAGGGACAGAGAGAGAGAGAGAGAACGGAAATGGTTTTCTATCTGTATTAATGTTTTACTGAATGTTTCTAGTTACTCACGTTTCAACTTTATTTTGACTGTTCGTGAATTTTTATTGCATTGTATGTTTTTAGTGAACACATTTTCAACCTCACTGCGAGACTGTTTTTCTGGTATAAAATTTTACACATATGCATTTATATTATATGTATAATACTTTGTTTTACGTACACCTTTGTGTCGATTAATTTTTAAGATGTGATGTCTTTTTCATTGTAATGCGCATTGAGCATCTTTTAGGAAATGGAAATGCGCAGTATAAATGCTATTTATTATTATTATTATTATGAGAATATTGAGCAGAGGTACAATTATACAGTTGTTTCGTCATTCAGACTAACAGAGAGGGAGAGAAAGAGAGCTGGCCAAATATGAAGAAAGCAGATCAAAAACACAGAGATGAGGTAACAAAGAAGAAGAGAGGCTAAACAAAAGAAAGCATGAACGATGGGTGGTGAAAGAAATGGAATGATAACAGATGATACACCATCTTGTTACTCCAAAATTTTGAATTTATCTGTGTGTTTAAATGAGGTTTACCCTTGTTATCTGTTCTGTTGTTGGAGACATTTAAATCTTTTTTTATTTTTTTTATTATACATCTTTTTTTACAGGTGTGTGACTGGACTGACAGCTGAAGGGAGTTGAGGAATGGCTTTTTCAAACAGTATTCCCCTGCCCCGCACAGCACAGAACTTGGTGTTCAACAATCCTCTCATGGACCCTATTATGAAGAATGCTTACTTCTCTTCTAGGATTCAGCTGCAGCCTTTTGATTGTACAAAATATTTGGATGCTATTAAGAATTCCAAGTTCAATCAAATGGGTAGAGATAGCAGTTGCAGTCAGATGGCTGTGGACACGTTAAACAGCCTTGTTAGTGAAAATGGTTTTGCCACGCCTTTATTAACTTTGGTTGCTCTGGAACAGACAGAAATTGTGGAAATACTTATAATGCAAGGTGCTTCTTGTAATATCCAAAATATACTTGGGCACTCACCTCTTCATTTAGCGTGCTTGTCAAAAGCTAAAAAGATGACTGAACTGCTGCTTTCAGAGAAATGGAAGAGTGATGTTAATCTCTCAGACTGTTTTGGATACTCCGCTCTTTTTTATGCAATTTTTGGGGGTGATGTAGACATAATAAGTTTTCTATTAAGTCATAAAGCAGAAGTCAACATTCAATCATTTTCTGGCCTCAGTCCTCTTATTGCTGCATCAGCATTTGGTTTGGTAGGAGTAGTAAATGATCTCTTGGACAAGGGAGCTAATGTTAACTGTCAGAATACTGAAGGAATGTCTCCTCTCATGGGTGCAGTTTGTCGTGACTCGCAGGAGATTGTGGAGTGTTTGTTGGAACATGGAGCAAAGGTTGACTTGGTTGATCGTTTTGGTGAAACAGCTTTTACTTTGAGTGTTTTAATGGGACACTATGATTGCATGAAAATGCTTTTGAAATATGGTGCTGACATAAATCATACAAATATTGAGGGGATTTCTGCATTGATGTTGGCTGTGTTTAAAAGTGATTATAAAATGACAAACTGTTTGCTGAAGAAAGAAGCGGGAGTGGATGTTTGTGATAAAAATGGAAGAACAGCATTATTTTATGCTGTGGAATCTGGTTTTTATGCTGGTGTCCAAAATTTGTTGAAGGCCAAAGCAAATGCATCTGCATTTGATTACAAGGGCATAAGTGCATTGGCGATTGCATGTTCCAAAAAGCCGTCGCACTTGCCGAAATTGCTTGCCACTGAAAGTAACTACAATACACAAATGTGCGTTGAATTAAATATTTCTTTGGAAAACTGTCTGGTGCACCAGCAACTAAAAACATTTGATTGTCTTCTTGACAAACATAAATTGTGTAAAAGTTTTAGAAACCAAGATGGAGAAACATTGTTACACCGTGCTGTACAATTCCTGTCAGATAAGAAAATGCTGCAAAAAGTTGTTAAAGTATGCAGTGACAGTGTAAACTCCAAAAGTCTGAATGGTCTTACTCCTTTATTAAAAAGTGTCATGGCTAAAAACACGGTGGCTGTTAAAGTCTTGGTTAACAGTGGCGTTGATGTCAACTGTCAAGACATTAACGGTGTATCCCCTCTTCATTGTGCTGCTGAACTGGGTCTCGTGACAATAATGAACTCTTTACTGCATAGTAAGGCAGATATCAACTGTCTTGACTGTTTTCGACAAAGTGCTCTGATGAAGGTTTGTAGTGTTGGGTGTATAGACGGAGTGAAATTATTGATTGCCAACAAATGTAATGTGAATCTAACAGAGCATCGAGGATGGAATGCTCTCATGTTTGCAGCCCAGAAAGGTTTTGTGGAGGTGATCACTCTTTTGTTGGAAAACAAGATGGATGTGGGCAAAAAGTCTGCCAGTGGGGTGACTGCTCTTGCAATAAGTGCAGGTAATGGTCACAAAAGGGCATCTTTGACTTTGCTAGAGCATGGAGCACAAGTAAATGAAGGTTTTGTCAAGTCTTGGATGTCCGATTCTTCTCCACTGTATTTTGCTCTCCTTAACAAACATCCATCAGTTGTGAGAGAATTAGTTGCAAGAGATGCTCATATTGGTGGTGTCACTATAAACAAGTCTACAGCAACCAGTTCTACAGCATCCTTATTGTGTGTCCAGTCTAGAAATTTGGGCCTTGTCACATATTTTGTACAAGATTGCAAGGTGGATGTAAATAAGGGGAACCTTGAGGGTCTTCGTCCTATTCATGTAGCTGCTTTCAATGGAGATGTAGATATTTTGGGAGTTCTGTTAAAGGCTGGTGCAGATCCGAATGTTGCCACGAAAAGTCATGTGACAGCTCTGATAAATGCATCTGTGTGCGGAAGCTTGGAGATAACAAGACTCTTAATTGAGAAAGGGGCAAGAGTTGATGAGCGTGCTGAAGATGGTTGGACCCCTTTGATGTTTTTTGCCCAGACAGGAAACTCAAAATGCATGGAGATGATTTTAGCTAAATCTAAAGCAGATATTGATTCTGAAGAAGAGAAAGGAAACACTGCTTTGCATATTGCTGTCTCAAATGGAAAAGTTGACGCCGTCAAAATGCTTCTTGATAAGAAGGCAAATCCAGACAAGCGAAACGCTGAAGGTCTGGGTCCAGTTCTAATCTGTGCCCACAACGGTCAGTTAGAAATACTCCAGTGTCTATTAGAAAGTTCCAAGTGTGACCTGGAAGTAAAAACTTCAAGAGGAGAAACTGCTCTCTTGCTCGCTGCCAAGACAGGAAGGGAGAGTATTGTGAAACTTTTGCTCAAGAAAGGAGCCCTTGTCAATGCTGTGTCAGACGATAGGGAAACTGCACTTCATGTGAGCGTCTCTGGTGGATATTATGGTATTGCTGAGGAATTGATTAAAAATGGTGTGGACAAAGAAAAGATTGACCTGAAAGGTAACACAGCTCTCCTGAATTGTGCTGGGAGGCTCCCAATTCTGAAAATTCTCGTAGAAAGAGGAGCAGATTTGAACAAACTGAACAATAAAAACATGTCAGTTTTGCACCTTTCTTTTCAATGTAAGAACAAAGAATGTGCTAAATTCCTCCTACGCCAAAAATCTCTTTCCCGGAGCACCAGAGAAAACGCCAAGGTATATGCAAGTTGTGAACTGTACATGAATGACTTTATTCAGCTGATTGAAAATACTGAACCAGACTTGGAGTCATCACAGCAACAAGGTATGTTATTTTGTATACTTCATGCTTTTTAGAAATGAGAGTACTGATGTTTTAGCACATAAAAGAACATTGCCTTAAGAAGGGATTTTACACAACCTGATGCCACTCAGTTCTGTTTTGTTAAAATATATGTACCTACTGTCCTAGACTTGATGGCTGCGAGAAAACAATAAGCTCTCCAATTGTGCATGGATGTGCACCAAATTTTAGAGGAAATAAATTTGATCATCCAGACACCATAATCTATGCTCAAATTTGAACTGGTCAGACAAACACTGTTACATTAGCCATGTCTTGGACTAACCAGAAAAGGTCTTTTCTGAAAGAAAATATGCTGAATTTAAGTCTGCAAATTCTAGATCTAGGTCTAGTGCTCCTTCCGAAAGAGCAGTGGGGTTAGTAAAAACAGTTCAAAGTGAGGGGGTGTCTGTTAGATTGTCATTAAGGGAAGGATCAAATAAGCATTATGAAGACGGTAAGAAATAAGGTCGCGACAATGCCAGAGAAGTCTGTTCAAGGACGTAGCAGTGATATGGGCTTATCAAAGTCTCCAACTTACAGAACCTTTAACGAAAAAGAAGCCACATCACATTTTTGTCCATCAAGGAATATCCCCAGCCAATATGTGGATTTTTACGACAATCGAGACACTTAGAGAATTTTCTACTTTTTGCTATAGTGATGAAGCTTATTTCTAAATGACTGAAAAGATTAATCTGGAGAATTGTGTGTGCCGGGCAAAAAGACCAGATCATTTGAACCTGTGAATGAGAGAGACTTGCATAGACATAAACTGTCACTGCGGATTCATTTTTTGAATGTGTTAAACCAGTTCTGGCGATCCATGGGGCAGTTCTGCAGACATCAGGCTAAAGGACAACAATGGTTTATATGCAGGATAGGATAATGCAGCCCCTCACATTGCAAAACATTTTAACCCGACTGTAGGATGTTTTGATGATCATGTCTCCAGTCGAATACAGAGCACCCATGGGCACTATTCCAGTTATGAACCCATAATTGACTGTTAGTCTCTTTGGGTTATCTCAAAGACCAAATCTCGAGTGGAAGATTCCAAACCCTTTAGGAACTCAGAAATGGAGACAAGGCACTTGTGAGAGCTACCACGCCTCAGAAGTGTCAGAACATTACACATTTTTTAGTCAGAACACGAGAAATGCATTTCGCCTGATGGGGGCCATGTGGAGCATCTTAACATTTTGTAAAGCTGACAGTTCTAATGCAGATTCTTTTTTCATGCATAAAATTGTGTTAATGTTTGTCTGGATTGTTCTTTCATGTTTGTACCAAAAGACTTTGCTGTATGTCAAGGTGTATTTGTTTTAACTTTTATTTTTTTTACTGTCATCGAGTTTGGGACACCCTGTATGATTGTAGTATATGATATATATTTACATTTCACCTTTCTGTTCATTCTGGTCTCAACATTTCTGTTTTGATTTTGCAGGAAAGTGGAAGTATACAATGCCACCGTGATTATTTAGAATATCATTAAAGGCCCATATTTTTTAATATTTTGAAATAAAAGCCGTCTTTTTCTCCCCAGAACAATCCTTGCTCCCAGGGGACATTGGAGAATCTGAGTAAGAATGTGTTGTTGTTAAAAATAAAAAAACAATAGCTAAAAAAAAGCAAAAGGCCACAATAAATCTCAGAAAACTTGTTTTGATTGCAATGAATCATGAAAGACAAAAAGTTGTTTCTTATAATATACTACTAGCTGCTCATACTTACATATTGGAATTGTTTAAATGCAGAACTACTTTGAATTCCAAGATTTTTTTTAGAATAAATACTCTTTTGTATTGGGCAGAAATAGAATTTAAATTACGTAGTTTGTAGAACTGACTGGCTATAATTCCCATCGACACTCCCCTCCCCCCATAACACTCATACACACACACACACACACACACACACACACACACACATACATTGTTATTTTATACCTACATCTGTGTGTGTGTGAGGTTATGTATGAAAAGGGTTTTGTGGAAGGTTAAATCCACTTAATTACAAACTTCTTAGTCTAATTTGATTGAAGCCAATTATAACATGAATAGAAACTGATTTGATCTGCATGAAACAATAGACACTGCTATACTAAAAAACAAATTTTGAATGTGAAAAGTCAGAAAAGACACCACCTCTGGCTCCCTTTACTTGTTGTTGTTGTTAGCGATCCAGTAGCATCTGATCGTTAACTCTTCTACATGATGCCATTCGGTAATAGCTGCATGTCTGTTCTAATTGTTGTCTTGAGGAGTAGAGGCAATTAGATGTGTGGGGTA